CATGATAAAGACACTGATTTGAAAATGACTCAAACTCATTGACTGCTCCTGGCTAAGCAACGGTCAATAAAGAATAATTTAATGACTAGGCTAAAGTGTGCTGATCTAGTTTTATCGCCATCAGCCATATGCTGAACAGCGGGTGTCAGAACTGAACTATTACCCCTCACACACGCCAAACAGGAAGATGACAATAGGTTACAGATGTTAGAGAGCAGGTGAGAGTGTGGCAGAAAACAACTGGTGAAGCACAGCAGGATAAGAGATCCTGTGAATCAGCGAAGGCTTCTATGACATTTGTGGAGGTCATGTCATCAGGTGGAGAAACAATAGCAGCTGTGGCATGTGCAAAGGCTGTTTTTTTTTTCCAGAAAAATAGCAACTGGAATTCAACTCAACTTCATTCTATTAATACAAATGTTTATGTTTTTAATAATAGTTTTTATAGCGAAATAATAGAGTAAATTACTCACCCTCTTGACATTGCAATCCCATATTATTTATATTATAGTACATATACACACATATATATATATATATATATATATATATATATATATATATATATATATTATACACATATATATATTAGGGCTGTCAAACGATTAATCACGATTAATCGCATCCAAAATAAAAGTTTGTGTTTACATAATATATGTGTGTGTACTGTGTATAATTATTTTGTATATAAATGCACACACGTATATATTTAAGAAAAATATGTTATTTATATATAAAATGTTTATATTTATATAAAATATACATTATATATAGGCTACATTCAGTCTATATACAGTATATACATGCAAATATGTCTTAAATACACATGCATGTGTGGGTATTTATGTTTTAAAAATAATTATACACAGTACACACACATAGTATGTAAACACAAACTTTTATTTTGGATGCGATTAATCGTTTGACAGCCCTAATATATATATATATATGTATATATGTATAAAGAACCCATATATCTTTGTTTAATATCAAGTTATAAATGGTATATTAAATATGTAATTTCATTTTAAATATATATGCATATTATGTACTAATTTAGTTTACCCAATAAATATATATATATATATATATATATATATATATATATATATACACACATGAATAATAATAATAATAATAATAATAATAAGGGTTTGTGGCATCAAGAGGGTGAGTAAATTATTATAAAAATATAACGATGTATTATTAAATTATTTATTATTTATTATTAAAAACAAAATAAATACTGAAGGCTAGTCATTACTATTTAGTGCTTTATTTCATTTTCCTTTAATTAAAGCAGTTAAAAATGCTCTTCATGTCGTGATCTAAGCAACTCTTGAAAATGAGCAGTACATCCGAACGCAGGGGAACCATGGCAACACAAGCTGTAGATTACCAAAACATCAAAACACCAATGCTATTGCCCAACTCCTGTCATTCAGCAATATAATGGAGAAAATAAAAGAATATTGTGTAGTCACAATGGCACTGTATATCTAGAGTGGCATCTCGGAAAGCACCGTCTGCGATTAGGACCAGTTCCGCTTGCACAAAATACTAGACATTGTGGTGTTATTGCTAATTTGCAATTGATTGTTTTCTCTTCTTCATCATCATCATCTTCAACTTTGTTTAAATAAAGTTTTGATTTCTGAAAGTTATACAATATGTTTTTATACTGAAATGAAAATGTATCTCAAAAGATCAAGGACAACTTAATTACTCATGATATGAAACAATGAAACTGTATAAAACCCTTTAATGACATTTAAAAACGGATGATTTATCATTTACAAAATTCTGAAGATCACCTGAGAACAATCTAGGACCCTAAAGGGCTCCATCATTTCATACTGCATGATCTGAGACTCTCACTGAGACAGAATATTGATTTGGAGCCAGATAGTTGACTTGAAGGTTTTGTATTAAATGCACACTTCTATCTACTTGTTCACCCATCATTCCAACTAAACAAACAACCCTATAATCTACTTCAGGACACTGCAGCAACACTTCTGCTACGAACCACATTAACGTTTAACGAAGATTAAGTCAGTCTTGCTGAAACATGCCAGTTTTAGCAAAAATACTTAAATAATAGAAGGAGAGGTTAGAAGTGTTAAATGCAAAGTTTACAAAGTTAAATGACTGTATACAGAAAACAAAAAAACAACAGACAACCTTCAGTGAACAATAAATGTATAGGATACCAACAATGTCTCCAAGGTGACAATGGTGAAAGTTTAGAGAATCACCAATCTCAAATTTAAGCAAATTTCATATGAAGCTGAATATTAAATATTCATATTTATATATTTACAAGGAGTTTGTTGGGAAAATAAAATTAAGCAATTATACAATGAAATGAAACGCGCATATATATATATATATATATATATATATATATATATATATATATATATATATATATATATATATATATATATATATATACACACACACACTGAACAAACTTATAAACGCAACAAATTTGCCCCCATTTCATGAGCTGAACTCAAAGATCTGAGACTTTTTCTATGTACACAAAAGGCATATTTCTCTCAAATATTGTTCACAAATCTGTCTAAACCTGTGTTAGTGAGCACTTCTCCTTTGCCGAGATAATCCACCCACCTCACAGGTGTGGCATATCAAGATGCTGATTAGACAGCATGATTATTGCACAGGTGTATATATAGAGAGAGCTTGTGATATTTATAGATATTTAGCCTATAGATTTATAGATGAAATATCATAGAAAGAGTAAAGAAAAAAATATTTAATAAGTTATCTAATATATTTTTGGTTATCCAACCCATATACAAAAGTATGCAATTCCTGATGTTAAACTCAGACCATGCTTTTGCATTTAACCCAAGAGTAGGCTCTGTTTCACCACAGGAGGTTTCAGAATACAGAGAGTCGTAATGCTAACTTAATAATATCAACACAGATGAGTGTCATGGGACTGAGAGGATGGTGCCCTCATAAACATACACACACTCATACACACACTAACTAATTCAATCGAGCACTTTAAAGCTCAGCATTTCTCCAGCAGCGGTGGGATGATGTAACAGCTGGGATAGTGCCTACTGTGAGACTGGAGCGTTGAGATAGATTAGGTAACTCTCCGTCTGCTATTGGCATGTCAAAGTAACAACTATTTACTTTAAGAAAGCTCTGTGTAGTGAAGCTCCCAAGAGTTAAAACCTTGAAAGCCTGTGAATGTGGATATTAAGATACTAATTTCTGCTGACCAATTCACAGCATGAAACCAAAACGGACTCTAGTTACTTTCTTAAAGGCATAGCTCGTTCAAACTTAAAAAAATTTGTGTCATTCCATGAAATTAAAATAAAGGGGAGACTATACGCAACAATCTTATTGTGTAATTTTTAAATCAAACTGTTATAACTCAATCTTCCGGTGAAATATATACATGCATACACATACATTTATTTTACAAAGATAGTCCCTCGCAAAAAGGTTATAACACTTTGGGGTCCACGCCATCAAAAGACTTGAAAACCCCTCGCATAAAGCAATATAATTGATCCATGCATTTCAAGTCTTCTGAAGTCATAGCTTTGTGTCACTGATAATCTTTCCATAACCAAATCGCATTTACGCATTAAAAAAATGCAGGAGGGAGAAAGATATTTAAAAGCTGAAACAGGGTGAGATTTTTACCAACCTATATTTCAGTTTTTCATTTTAACATTGTTATTATATAGCTTAAGTCATATGGACTCTTTTCTTAGTTCTTTTATGCTGTTTTTTTTTTGGTCCTTCTTTGAGCTTGACAGCCATGGTCACTAAGAACTGAAGCTGTGAAGAAGTGAATGCCACTCGTTCTTAATGGATGACGGAGGCAGAAATCTGCAGTGTCTGAGCAGAAGGCAAAGGGCCGTCTCGGTATGTCCCAGGCTATTCAACCCCCTGTTAAAATCCTAAATACTAGTCAAACTCCGAGTGTTCCCACAACCCCTCCTCCAACTCAGACCTGACAGACAATGTGGTCCGAAACAAAACTGGAGTGTTTCTATCGCCGGTCAGCGGTATGGGGTTTAGACAGGAATGTAGATCGCTCTGCATCTGAGCAGAGCAGCACTACCTGAAGTGACCCAGTGAACAATCGTTTTTATAGAGCAAGAGAATAAACTGAACCTCTCTGAGAATGAAATTGAGAGCAAATGAGTGTGAGAGAGAGAAACAGAGGCTGTCTCTTTACTAGATTGTCTGTCTGTTAAGTCTCTATAGCCAACAAAATAGAGCAGTTATTTGAGCCTCTCCTGTCTTTCTCACTTCAATATTATAGGAGCCATACCATACATATTTTTGGGCCAAAATAGTTTAGCACCTTAACACAGTGTCTTAACCAGTCACGATGCGATAAGATTCCAGCGACACAACACCAGACACGCGAAGAGACGAAACCAATCAAAAAGCACAGCCAATCAGAACAGCGGGAGAACATTTTTCAAATGTGGAAAAAGTTTGGCGTTTTAAAAATTAGTGTGTTTTTGGCATTTATCACTGAAATGAGGTGAGTGAGTGAGTGAGTGAGTGAGTGAGTGAGTGAGTGAGTGAGTGAGTGAGTGAGTGAGTGAGTGAGTGAGTGAGTGAGTGAGTGAGTGAGTGAGTGAGTGAGAGAGAGATGGAAGAGACAAAAAGCTAAATAAAAAAATAAAAAGAAGGTGGGGACATAATGAGGAAGATATGTCACCAGGAAGTTATGAGCTAATTTGCCAAAGGGGATTTTGCTAGTAGCTGCCATGTTGATTCATCACTCATTTCAAATCATGTGACAGATGACAACACCAAAACCCTTTTTAATAAAATCTTCAATTTTATATTCTGCTCATCCATTCCACAATGAACATATAAGCAAATCATTCTCCCATATATTTCTTACACATACACTTGAGTGCTTAACTATGCTGCCTGCATCTTGAGCGGGTTTATCTCGTGTGAGAACAGTGGGTGGTACGTACCAGCAGATGAGTCCGGCAGCAACAGCAGCCCAAGTGACACAGCAAGAGTTGGATTTCTTACTTTCCTCTTCCTCCTCATCCTTCCGACAGCAGCACAGGCAGCTCAGGTAGATGGCCAGACACAGCAGATTCACACCAAGCCCAGCTGCTGCTACACAGCCCAGGAAGAGGAGCGACTGAAACAGAAAACAAACAAACAAACAAACAAACATGAGTCTTTGTTAAAAGAGACATATGAGGCAAAACTGATTTTTTTTCTTGTTCTTTTGAAATGAAAGAGTTTGATCTCATATGCCATTCATAACACAAAGCTCCCTTATCATCAGTCCACATAATATGGAAACTAAAATTCTCTGAGTTGTTCAGAAAGCGTCACTGCTATGATATCTGAATCATCAGTACTTTAACAATTGACCAACCGTATTTACATAAATACAAATGCATATTCAGTTTACACCTCTTAAAGTCAACATGAAATCCAAATTGATGTCCTGATGCATGTTTTTTTGTCTTACTGTGTACAATTTATCTATGCATTTTTTTGTTTCACGATCCAATCAACGCCTAATGGACAAAAATCAAACCCTGTCCAAAATGTTTCCTTATTCCTAATTATTTCTCTGTGAAATAAATCAGATTACGCAAGTAATATGGGTTATGAATGCTGTTGGGACTGGGAGTTGTGAAAAATATGATACACCGGTGTTTTGCCAGATGAGAAGTTTAACTATGTATCAGCTTTTTACTATTTTAATTCATTTTATAACTGTATCATATATCTCTTTTAATTTATTTTATAACAGTTTTAATTTTCCTTGCTTTGATTATTTTAATTATTTTCTGTAAAACACTTTGAAGCACTTAGCAAACTTTTAGTCATAATGGTGTTGACTTGCATTCTTGGGTGCAAGAATTCAAAGAGTAATGCTGCGTCCCAATTCGCATACTATCCGTCCTAAATTGTATTCGAAAATAGAATTAGTGCGTCCCAAATCGTAGTATGTTGAAATGAGTGTCCCAAAGAGACCCGGATGGTCTACTATATCCGGTCAGAATCCGAAGTGCAGATCATTGCACACTCTTACGGCTGATATTGCCCACAACCCATCGCGCGTTGGACGAGGATTCGGTTAGAACTACAAACACGAGTGAAAAGTGTTCAAAAACTACAGACATGGAGGACGCGCGAGTCCGGCGGTTGTGTAGAGAGGTTTAGATAAAGGGGTTTGAGTGATTAATTATCAGTATCTAACCTGACGAAAATGTATTTATTCAATGTTGTCCACATTATATTCCATCTGCAGCAGCATTGTGAACTTTTGCAAAGATACGTTTAGCCATTAACTTTTAAATGCATTATTATATTCAAATTCCAAACACATGAGGAGAGTCTCAGCATGAAAGACCCATGACTGGCAGATAAACGTGCTACAACATTTATCTCCGAAATGTTAAGAAGTTATATTAGATTGAATGGAGGACTTTAACTGTGACGAGATGATTGACAGGGCAGTTTACGTGATAGGATGCACGCGACAGAGCTGTCCGTTAAAGATGACAAAGTAGTATGTCCCAAAGCTTGCCTACTCTTTTGATATACACTCAAAAGTATGTACTTTTTCTTCACAAAAAGAGTACATACTTTTAGGGCATAGTATAAGTAAGCGAATTGGGACGCAGCACAAATGTTTAACGGGAGTGAGTTACTTTCGGTTTCCAGGGAAGGATCCAGCGCATTGTAGGCAGTGGCTCAAGGCTGCAAAGTATCGTAAATGTAGAACGCCTCGATGGATACACTGAAAAACCTCGGAGCTTGTAATCTACAGTTCAAACTGGATGACCACGAACACAGTGTTTTAGGCAAAACCGAGGGTAAAAAAAAAATGAAAGAAACTGCCAATACATTTTGCATTTCTCAGTTTAGGTAACTGGGAGAATGAGTAAACAATGTTCCTTTACATATGCTCTGTAACAATACAAAGAGAGTTGCAGAAAATGGACCTTTAAAAACATTAATAATAAATAGAATCCTAATGCAATCTTTACATACACAGTACAAACATGAAAATCTCAGATGCAGCCAGTACATTTTACTATATTTAAAGCTCCCACGTGTACTACCTGTGACCTTGTCTGCTAATGCAAGTTTCTCATTAATGTCGAATGAAGTCACGACCTCCTGAGATGTTTTCCGAACACAGACAATGCATTGCACTGATAACGCAGAGGTCTTTACTGGTTGCAACACACTGTCATATAACTTAAAGTTCCAGTTGATAAATCCAGGGCTATTTTAGTCCCACAGCCTTTAATGGGGGCACAAGGTAGCGTGTTGCTCCGCCAATGTTTAGTACACACCACCGTTAAAGGAGCATGATCTCATTTCTGGCAGTGAAAACGATCTTAACTTGGTTGAAAACATTCACCCAGAAAGGAATCTATAGATTTTAAGCAGTGACTGGGGATAAATATGACAACTGATGGGGCAGTACAATTATTCAACAAAAGGCACACTCGTATACACACACCATGTCATATCCCATCCTCTTCTTGGCTCTGAAGGGGATGGAGAAAGTAGGACAGCTATAGCAAGCAGCCCCAGAGTCTATATTTGCTGCATCACCATCCCTGTTTCTTGCATTGTCTGTCTCTTTCGGTTACATTCAACACTGTCTCTTTCATCCTCTGGGTGGTGGGACATCCTAAGCCATCTGCTTCACTCCCATTTATTAACGCTAAGACTAACAGGTCAACCAATATACCCACAACTCCAACTGCATTCCTCCACTGTGTGAGAGAAACTAGTCAGAAATAAGAAAATTAGGTTAAACAATATAATTTCATTTGAGATTATATAAGGACTGTAAATATTATAACTAATGGTTCAATCAACAGTCTATCAATGGGCAACTTTATCCATCTTGACCCGTCCCACCCAGTACTCTATTAGCATTGGCCATTGAAAAACTCATAATGATCATAAAGGTGCATTCACCACATGTCGAAATTCTCATAACTACAACATTGCGACTTGTAAAAAGAGTTTACGTCCTCATAGAACTTTTAATAACAACTTGTAAACTTTGATTTGTCTGAGAGCTCCGACTTGTACCACCTGACCGCTGCAGCGTCACCCGGAAAAAAAATCAAAACTGCAGCGGCTTCAACAGTGAAACGTAGTTAAGCAGTTATTTCATATTCTTTCTGTTTAATAATAACAACATTGACTATTTATAATGTTTTAATAATACAAGAATAATCTGAAAATAAACAAGACATACAATGTCTATTGATTACTCAAACTACACCAATTACTTGAGACGTTAAGAGTGTAATTAATAGTGTTGCCATCAAAACACGCATACCGCTAAATTAACAATTACCAATTATGAATGAGCAAATGAGATTTTCAGAAATTAAACTAAAATTATTTTGTTCTATATTCACAATTTCATAATTGATCAGTTGGCCAATATACACTACCGTTCAAAAGTTTAGGGTCAGTACGTTTTATATATATAACATTATATAATTATGACAGTAAAGACTTGTACATTGTTACAGAAAAAATCATATATTTCAAACAAAAGCGTTTTTGTTTTTTATTTCTGAAGGATCATGTGACACTGAAGACTGAAGGAAAGGATGATGAAAATTCAGCTTTGCCATCATAGGAATTATTACATTAAAAAAAGTTATTTTACATTGTAACAATATCAAACAAATTATTTTTGATCAAATAAATGCAGCCTTGGTGAGCATAAGAGAGTAAAACACATTTTGACTAGTACTGTAGTAGACCACCAATCACAACAAGCATCAATATGTATCTATTAAATGTCAGATATTTAAGCAAAATGCATGATGAACCCCACAGTGTCTCATTTCAGCCACATTGTCTGAAAAAGATGAGTCTGTGTAAACCCCTCCTCCACCTTTGAGGATGGTGAATTCCCCATCAGGCCTTTGTGAAGGGTAAATAGGGGTTGATGAAGGTACTCTGATGAGGAAATGGGGGGAGGATGTACACAGACTGCCACAGGGGGGTCTTATGGGAGGGGATGGGGCACATTTTAGGGAATGAGTGTGTGTTTTCATTCTCACTGAAGAGTGGGGATTTGCGTGTGTGTGTGTGTGTTTGTGTGTGTGTGCATGTGTATCAGCAAAGGAAGCAGTTGGTGTGGAAACAAGGGGAGAAAGACAGGCATTATGTTTACTGCTTTTGGGCAGAGACAGGAAAAAAACCCACATAAATAAACATCACCATGGCAACCTCCAGGTCCTCTCTGCCCTTGTAGTTAAGTCCTGGGACAAAGTGAAAAGAGGAATTATCATAGACTATTTTAATGAAAAAGCGTGCGACTACATGACTGGAATTACCCAGACTAAATCCTGTGATCTTCGTGAACTACGAGAAACTTGTTTTGTCTGACAGGGAAAAGCCTAAGAGATTAATTATGGGTGGTATAAGCAAAATCTTATATCATGGCAACATTAACAGTATACATACACCATAATAGGTATTTTGGCAGAAAATTCAAAAACAATGTGTTTAAATAGCTCAGATAAAGTATATTATCTTTTAGATATAGTCCGAAGACTGGAGTAATGACAGCTGAAAATTCAGCTTTGCCATTTTATGAATAAATTAGGCTAGTACATTACAAATCCGTTAAAACTCTAATAATATTTCACAATATTACTGCTTATATATATATATATATATATATATATATATATATATATATATATATATATATATATATTTTATTTTTTATTTTACATCAAATAAATACAGCCTCGTGAGCATAAGAGATACATGTGTATTTGTATATAACAGTGAATTAAATACTGTTATTTGAAGCTCAATGGATTGCAGACCAAAAGATACAATTAGTCATAACAAATGATTATGTCTGGCATGAGTGCAAAAACAGCTTCACATTAGGTAAGAATCAATACAATAAAACAAATATTATAAAAATGGAGGGGTCTTCCTCATCTTGGCTTAACTGATACACGTCCTGCTCTATATTTTCACATTAATGCCTGTTTAAACGGCCACTATTGCCAAGACAATATATCTAGCATAGTGCAGTAAGATACTGTTAGACACGTCTCCCTCCCCTGTTGCATATATCCGTGACATACCTTTGATATACTACACATATATGCC